TTACCAAAGTAACCCTTAAAATATGGATTAGTATATTACCATAGGATACTTTCGCATACTATTAAATTATGGTAAAGTAACCCTAAACCCTTACACATTACCATAGGATACTTTCGCATAATAATTTAATAGTATATGTTGAGTAGTATCTTTATTTGACAATATTATAGATTAGTATAGGCTAAATTGTATTTGCAGTTGACAATAGTATAGATCAGTGTGGTCAGAGTTGTATTTGCATTTCATAAACTATAGGTTGATATGTATTTGTATTTAATAAAGTTTAGGTCGAGTTGTATTTGCATTTAATAAAGTATAGGTTAGTATAGGTTCAGATGTATTTATAATTATTAGGTCATTGGTTAGTACAGGGAATTTAATTCAATAATGTTTTTCATTTTTTCTTCGTAATTGTTTATTACCGAGGTAATAAATGAGGTACGAAGTTAATGTGGAATTTATAATAAGGGTTCATTAAAGTAATTGCGCATTAAATATCGGGTTAAATCTGAAGTAATGGTGTTAGGTTAAATAGAAAAGTTTAGGGTGGAAGTCTCTCCTTAAAGATGCGATTTAAAACTGTGAAGCAAAGGATATTGCATAACGTGCCAAAGTGGACAAAGCGTACAATATCGACTAGCGAAGAATTTGGATGTTTGAACATTCGACCACGCCCTCTAAATTTTGATTTTGTTTCGTCACGCTCATTCCTGTTAATCATATCTATTTTTTTTTTTCCTCGTTTAGAGGTTATTAATTGAGAAAATATAAAAAATGCAACTGTCATGTTTAACACAACTTTGTTTTTTTCATGTCCACCAAAAATAGCAAATCAAAAAGAATTGGTATTCACAACTATGCAACAAATATGGATATCCAACCTCAAAACATTCATAGGAATTAATTTTTAGAGTGGATATTAACCTTAGATCAGCTTCTCATGCGGCTTTAACAGCTTGTTCAAACAGATATTTATTTTTATTTTTCTATATAATGAACCGAAATCCCAATGATTAAACATCAACAAAACAAATTTGAGTATTTTAAAAAAATGAAGTCTCTAACAAGCTTGGGTGTTATCTTATTGTTTGCTTTGGAATCAAGCATTATTATCAACACATGTTTTGCAGGTTCCAACGGACAAGCTGCAGTGGAAAATTGGCAATTACCAGAAGGCAAGTGGCAAGTGACTATTTACAATTATCAAACAAACTCAGTTTTAAATGCTCATTGCAAGTCAAAAGACGACGATTTGAACGAACAAGTTTTGGACAAGCGAGCCCAATTCCACTGGAGATTCGAAATGAACTTTTGGCATACGACTTTGTATTGGTGCAATTTTAACAGTTCGAATGGACATGCTTCGTTTCAGGTATTTTGGCCAGAGAACTCGCATTGGCTTTCTGAACGATGCAACGTTAAAAACTGCATTTGGGCAGCATTTGATGATGGATTTTACTTAAAAAATCTTCATTCGGGGAAGTTTGAATTGATACACCCTTGGGAAAAATGAAGTAAAATCTCCCTCACTCATTTTCGTCCCACAAAACCTACCTTTTTTTTTTTTTTCCTCTCTTCTTTTATGCTTGCTTGCTTTCACATGTAATAATTCTACGGAGAGTTGTGGGATTTCTTTTATGTTGCATATTTAAGTCTAATAAAAGGGGAGGAACTTTTGGGAATTTATAGTTATTTGGATGTTGATAATTTGGTTGGGTTTCTAGTTTTTACTAGTATCGACCCATGGGAAAGCTTTCAAACTCTGGATTTGGCCGTTAATGTCCCTAATATACCCCTGACAGTATTGTAAGGTTATTTACTTCTTGCTTCTAAGAGTGAAAACTATCTCCACACACAAACATGAGTCTTTCTAGCATGTTTTTTTTTCCTTACCTTCTAAGAGTGAAAACTATCTCCACACACAAACATGAGTCTTTCTAGCATGTTTTTTTTTCCTTACATGTTTTCTACGAAAATTCTCAAGAGGTCTTCCAACATAAAATTGCTCAAAGAAAAGCATATTTAATCTCGAAGTTCTTATGATTAAGCCAACAAAAAGGAAAGTGCATCTCGTNAGCATAGGTTTAGACTACGTCTCTTGGAATGCAGTACCAAGAACAAGAGAAAGATCAAGAACTAGAATATGGATCAAGGACCAAGTTTTAAGGAAAAGAACCAAGGTTCACCGGACAGATCATGATAAGAACCCCAAGTCAAGAACAAGAACTAGAGGGCCAAAGTACTTACCACAAGAACGAGAACAAGAAAATAAAGAATGTGGTACCCTACCATATCAAGGACACGATTAAGAGCCTCCAAGTAGGCTACGTACTGAATCTTGTACTCATTCCTTGTTTTCCATTTTTTTCAAGTAATAAGAAGCTGGTTGAGGTCGGGAGAAAATCTGGAGCAATTGCCATAGACAAGCCTCACTCGTCATCCTCAACCTTTGTTTTAAAATGTTTTGTGTTTGTTCATTATTTTGTGTTTTAACTATTTGTCTAGTTTTAATTTCTCATGTATGAATACTATTTTGTTTTATTGAATGTTATGTTTTAAATACGGTTTGTTTTATTTCGCGAAAAAATTTAACCATTTTTTATAGAGTTATAGAATCAACTCGGTCTTTACCATTACAAACCTATTTGGTTAGGACAAAGATTTGAGGTTTGGGTTTGCAGTCCACCAAGACTGAGGGTTTGATTTTTGCTCGAATTTTGAGCCTCGAGCTTGGACATGAATAGATTCAATTGATCTTCCTTTTCTTTTGTGTTTCCTCGTATTGTTTTTACTCAATTATCAATAGATTTTTATCAATTTTTATTTGTCAGCGCCCTTAAATTTCTAAAGCAGTAATCTTATTTTCATGTTTAATTTTTCTGTTATTATCTGTATTTTTTTCTAATGCTAAAATCAAAAGAATTATTAAAATATTGTGATTAATACGTGAAAAGTTTGATATTAAATTTCTAGAACTCAAGTTAATTTTCCACACTTCATTTTCTAATCTTGATAAATTTTTAACATTTAGTTTTCTAATCTTAAAAATTATTCCTAAGTCATAACTAAAAATTGTAAAAAATTTACACAAGTAACGTGTAATAGTCAAGTCCACTGCTTATTGAAATATCATCACTAGCCCAATAGAGTAAAGCCTAATAATTGTAGGAGCCCATTGTATATTTATTTGAGTACATATTGTAGGAAAGAGATCTACATATTTTATGAGAGATATTTACATATTTTAGAAAAAAGATTCAGATTTTTTAGGTTTAGATTTAGATTTGTTAGGTCTATTTAGGCTCTAGTATAAATACCCTCCACCCTACCTAGGTTATTCAGTATTCTAAAGAGTGTCTTGTATTCTCTTCTCGATTGGTCTTAATAAAGAGTGCGAGTGTTTCCCACAGAGAATTGTGTTCAACAATTGGTTTCAGAGCCATGTCCTAAACTTACCCATGTTAATAGAATTCTCAAATATCAAACAAAGAATTGTGAGCCTCGAAGGTATAGTCAAAAGTGACTAAACTGTCGAACAAAGGGTGTACTTTGTTCGAGGGCTCTAGAGAAAGGAGCCGAGCCTCGATTAGGGGAGGCTATTCGAGAGCTCCATAAGCCTTAGGGGAGGCTTATAGTGTACTTTGTTCGAGGGGAGGATCGTTGAGGATTATTGGGAGTGAGTCACCCATTGGTTAATTTAGTGAAAGATCATGGGTTTATAAGTGAGAAATAGTATCTCTATTGGTATGAGGCATTTTAGCAAGCCCAAAGCAAAGCCATGAGAGCTTAGGCTCAAAGTGGACAATATCATACCATTGTAGAGAGTCGTGATTTCTAACATGGTATTAGAGCCAGACACCAGACGATGTGCCAGCCTTCTCGCTGTTCCCCGAAGGGGGCTAGACACGAGGCGGTGTGCCAGTAAGGGGGGTGGATTGTGATGTCCGACATTGGTTGGGGAGGAGAACAAACCACCATTTATAAGGGTGTGGAAACCTTCCCCTAGCAGACGCGTTTTAAAGCCTTGAGGGGAAGCCCGGAAGGGGAAGCCCAAAGAGGACAATATCTACTAGCGGAGGATTTGGGTCGTTACAAATGGTATCAGAGCAAGGTTAATGTAGGTTTTCTGATTTCTTGGAATTCTTAGTATGCTATGTGGTTGCAGCTCTATCTGATCTTCCACATCATAAATGATTTCTTGAGTTAGTGAGTGAGTTCCTTTGTGTCGTGAGTAGTCAATGACTATGCAAATCTTGTGTCGAAAAGGTTTGTTTGGTATTACTAAGGTATTGTCAACACGATAGGTGACTTCCAAATCGTNTCTATTTCTAATAATAAGAAGGTATGTTCGAGAGTTCAGGTTGATTAGAGCAAGCTTGGAACCTAAATCAAGTTGGAACCCAATAAGTGCCTAAAGGAAACACCTCAAGACTCAAGACCCTTTTGGAATGCCTCTAAGGAGTTCATTATGAATCTATGACCTTCTAAAACAACTCATGCTTGTTATTATGATGGATTCATATGTTTACGAATGCATGTTACAACTTATGCCTAAAGGAATTATGAACCTTATAAACTTACCAGATTGGGAAATACGAACAATACCAAACAAGCTCTACAAGTACCAAGGTTGGAAGCATGCAAGGTAGCACGCAAGTATAAGGGACAAAGGTCCTCATTTAGAAAGAATGCTAGATACCACTCAAGGATAAGAGACTAAGGTCCTAAAACATAAAAACTCAAGAAAACTCCTAAGATCTCCCACCGTACAATATATTCTTGACTTAGACTACGCTGCTTGGAATGTATGAAGGCTTGAACTTAGGTATTCAGACTATGCCGCTTGGAATGTCTGAAGCGTTGGGCATAGGTATTCAGGGTGTACCATAGAGCAAGCCCTAGGTGCAGTATTTTAAACTACGCAGCTTGGCGCATGAAGCCTNACTAAACTAGAACCGAAGTCTGCAATTGGAGAAGATCGAATGAAGAGGATAATTATCCACAAGTTGTGACCAGAATATAGAAGCTTCATTATTGCTCTGCAAGGATGAAGCACTCAACCATTCCTTGTAGAGTTTGAAAATTTGTTGGCCAGCCTTGAAGCTATGGCTAAACAAAGGGGATGCATCACATTAAAGGNTGAAACCTTGGGCATATGTATAAAGACTGTATAATAGCGCAAGCTCTAGATGTAAGATTATACTACATCGCATGGAACGTAAGAAGCCTTTGATGTAGGTTTTTAGACAATGCTTCTTGGAACGCATGAAGCCTTTAGCATAGGTTTAGACTACGTCTCTTGGAATGCAGTACCAAGAACAAGNAGAAGTCATCAAGGAACTGCACAACTTGAGAGAGCTCAGAAGAATGACAACATGAGTTCTCAAGGAATGAGATTTTAAAGTAATTGCTATAATCGCGGGAAGAAGGGCCACATGTCTAAAGATTGTTGGTCCAAGAAAAAATCTATCAAAAACAATATGGCATCCTCTAACATGGAGATGGAGAAAGAATGGGATACAGAGGTACTATACGCCATAGAAAAAGATGAGCTAGCATTCATGGCGATGATGGGAGATCATATCATTTATGAGAATGACTGGATCGTTGATTCAGAATGCTCGAACCATATGACTGGTAATCAGAGTAAATTTTAGGACAAGAAAGAGTACAAAGGAAGCCACATGGTACGCACAGCAAATAACGCACAATTGTCAATTGCTCGTCAATTGCTCAGATCGGCAATAGGACAATCATGCCTGGCAATAAATTTGATACACAAAAAGAAGTCTCTGTTTCATCTTGTATTATGGATATAGATTTTTGGGGTGGTGTGTGTATTCAAAATAAGGAAAACATATTTCTTATGTATGTTATTTTATTTAAATATTTTTGGTGTAAAATAATTCGAAATGCTGAGATCAAGTAAAAATAGAAAGAAAATACCCTAAAATGAAGGAAACATGGGACGGTTTTGTGTTCCTTTAATGTTCCTTTTCTCAAGCTCTTCCATTTTTTTTTATATTTATTTTAAAAAGATACTTTTGACCTTATAATGGAACTAATCGTGAGTTAGAAAGCTTGGAAAAAAAGGTAAGCCATAAAAATTAGTTATGATATATAAATTTAAACAATACAAAAGGCTCAAAAAATTCACAAAGCACTAACACTCAGAGTTGACCTTCTCTGACACTTTACAGTAATTTTGTTGATGGCTCTACAATCCACGCACAGGTGCCAAGTTTCATCTTTCTTTGACACCAATAAGTCTTGTATAAAAGAACTCAAACTTTTTCGTATATAGACCTTCTCCATGAGCTCCTCCACTTGCCTTTGATGAATTTCTTTAGTCTCAATTGGACCGACTCTATTTGCTGGCTTAGTAGAAATGACAGTCCCAGGAATGAAGTCTATTCAATGTTTAGTACCTCTAATGGAAGGTAGTCCTTTAGGTATTTCATCATGAATCATGTCCTCAAATTCCTGTTAAAAAGATTGAAAAATACTGGACAAAGCAAAGTTGTTATAGTTAGAGACCAAAAATCCTTCCTTGTACATAAGTACAAAGATGATAAAGAATCGTGAAAATGGCAGGGATAAAATAAATGGAAAGATTTGAAGAAAAGGTAAACCATGACATAAATGAAGGATAAAATAAATTCTAGAATAGGCCACAAAGATGCAACATTGGCTCTGATAGCAAATTGATAAGGAAACCCTAATCTTGAGCCCAACAATAAAGCTTTTGTTGAAGCAACAACCTTGAATCAAAGAAATTAACACTTCATTATACAAAATTCAGATCAACCGAGAGATAAGGTTAGAATTAAATTGTGTCTTACGATCAAAGATCTAGAAGTAAGATTTAGAAACTTGTTCTAAATTGAGAAGGTTCTAAATCGAGTCACTCCACAATCGAACTTCATCAAGGCTTGATTGAATGGCTCAGATGCAATCTACCACAAGAATTGCTGAATCTAAAAAATGGCAATCGGACTTCTAAGGGCCAAAGTTCCAATTTGAGATTTCAATTTTGTTCATTCACAATCTGATTTTTTGCCTAATAATTTGTGGAAATTTATAGTCTCCCCACAAAAGAAGTTTGTGGCCAGTATTTAATCCCAATCCCCTTAAATCTCCACAAAAGAAGAAGTCAATTTGACAATTACAAGCTTTATGAAATTAAAAATGTTGATGCGCCTAAAGATCCAAGTGACATTAACATTGACGAGCAAGAGGTGACTCAATCAAGCAAATCTGATAAAAATGAAACGACACATCAACATCTTAGGCGATCAAATAGAATCCGAAGGCCAAATCTTAAATATGCAAATGCAGCTATTGTAGAAGATAGAGTTTACTAATCAGAGACATATGAAGAGGCATCATAAAACTCAGCTTGGCAGAAAGTGATGGAGGAAGAAATTATAGCTCTGAAGCAGAATCAAACTTGGGAACTAGTGCCAAGACTAGGAGATGTCAAACTCATCTCTTGCAAGTAGGTCTACAAAATAAAGCGTTGATCGGATGGATCAATCGAGAGATACAAGGCTCGACTCGTACCTCGAGAATTTTCTCAACAATATGGACTAGACTATGATGAAACATTTAGTCCAGTGGCAAAGATCACTACCGTACGAGTCCTGCTAGCACTCACAGCAAGTTAAGATTGGAAACTATGGAAAATG